CTTGCTTTGATGGAGATGGATGCAGGGACCTTCTTTTTCTTTTTTCGTTAAGGTTCTTTTGAATTCAGCATTGTGTTTGTTGGGGGGAATATGGAGTTTTTGGGTGGGTTGGTTTGTTTCTGTTTGCTTGTTTTGTTTTGTGGGGGCAGCCATGGATCTGTAGGAGAGGGGTGGGCTTGGATGGGACGTTGGAGAGCACAGAGGGAGGGATCTCTCCGATGGATGAGCCAGGGGAATGGGAGTGTGTGGACAGTAGAAAGCGGTTTCTTGTATTTGGATTTAAATGGCAGTTGGAAGGCATACTGGGGATACATGAGCTGGAGGGTTTGCTTGTTATGGTGGTTTACCTAAAAGACCAGCAGGTGGGGGTGGGGGAAAGGAGTTGGAGCTGTTGTTTGAGAAATTTGCTGTTATTTCCTATCTGGGTGGTTTGTCTGTTTATTGTAAGCTTCTTTTGGAAAGGGCGGATATAAAACTAACAAATAAATAAATAGATAAACAAACCCAAGCCTAAAAATAGAAAGGCTTCTCCATCCTGACATGCTGGAAATCAGAATAACTTTCCTGATAAATATACAAAAGCCAAATTAAGCCTGCTTTCATGTTCATCTAGGGCTGATCCATTTATTAATTACTTCCTCCATTACACACACTGCTGTTGCTGCCTGTAAGGTTGGAAAAAACACTGGCAGAGCAAGAAGCTTTCTGCTCAGAGAGACTCAGATTAGAAGAACTGTCATTTGAATATACAAGGTGCTTAGAGGCAGTGCTCCCTATAGCTGTCTTTTGTGGGCTGTGGAGGTATTTTATCCTCCACAATGTGTATCTATTGCTACTAACCAACTGCATAAGATGATACTATAAAGATTTCAAAGCCTGAGATGGCAGCAGAATATGGAATGAGAAGAATCAAAGCCACTGTAGATTGACCAAAACAAAGTTTTAGTTTTATTAGAAAATAGCAAGAAGACACTTGTGTGACACCATCTAATTAGTGAATTTACCATTTGTGTTCGTGGTGAAGCTGGCTTATTTCACGTGCAATCTGCAATACTTATTTGAAATAGATTATTGTGTTAGATATTCAGTAAAAATGGATTTGGTGCATTGTTACATTGCTGTGTCAAACTGGACTAGAATACAATACAATAGAAAATGATGTAAGATGGGACATGCAATCCCTGCCTATATAGCTGACCATAAGGAAATCCTGAAAATCTGGGACATCATCCGGGAAATCTGGGACCCAGCCCCCTCCCTCCCCACCAGCAGTCTCACAAGTGGGGTGGGGCCACATGCTGGGTAGGCAGCAGCGCCTGCCTGCCCACCTACAAGGTGCTTCGTGCCACTCTAACTCCTGGCCAGACAGTGCCCTGCGCCCCTGCGTTTCTGTGACACCCATTATAATGCCCAACAGTCAGCTGGGACCAGCCTCTAAATATGGGGATTGTCCCAGAGAAAATGGGACATATAGTCACCCTATGCCTATATAATGTAACGAGATACATGAGGAACTGAAATATATATATTTTCAGATGAAATAAACAAGTTGTGGCTAACTTGGCAGGTTTAATTCTGTGGGGTTTGTTGGTTTTTGTGTGTGTGTCTTAAGCAGGTTCACACCTACTTGTGCTGGATTCTCTGTTGATTTATGTGCTGTGAAACTCCATTAACTTTAATGGGATTGCATGGCCGTTTGCTATTTTTGACTTTCAGGTTTGAAACAACCAAGACGCTCGAAGCTAAACTCAGTCAAAGCTGCCAGGGTCGATACAGGTCCTCGTCACAACCATAAATCAGCTCGCAGCAACCCAGCTCAGTTTTGTTTCAAAGGTTCATAATCCTTGCTTTTGGTTCAGAGCTTGGATGAAATTAAGTGAGTTTTGCAGAGTTTTGCTGATTTGAGATTGTATTGCCAGTCTTAATGGCTACTAAGAGAACTAACTCAAATGACTGTAATTCAGTCCAACTTCTTGAATAATCCTGTGCTAGTTTGTCATAATTTTATTAAACTGAATACAACCTTTGAAATTTTGGAAATGCTAATTGGAAAGCTAAATACTGTGAGAACCCATTTATATGAACCTTTTATCTGGATACCAACATTAGGCAAAACTGGGCTATGTCTCATGCTGTGCATCATTTGCAGTGATACGGTCCCTGTTAGCTACAAACCCTGTTTATGAACATATACTCTGTGTTCCCTGCTTTATCTCAGAATAAACCTTTACTAAAACTGTGCTGATGAGACCAGGGATGGATCCAGAGAAGGTGCAATAGTGTGGTACCCCTTTCAGACTGGACCACTCTTTGCGAATCTCTGGGGACTTTTTTAAAATCCCTCAAGCAGCTGATAATCCCCCCTTTCCCTCTGTGCTCAGAGTCATGTCTATTCCCCTTCACTTCCCTCCCCTCTGCTCTGCCTGCTGCTGCTTTCCCCACTGTCCCAGAGGTGGGGGAAGATTTAGAGACACTCCTGGCCACTCAAGCAGGTGTCAAAAAAGATGATGCCTGGGAGGGGGAGGAGGACCCTCAACAGCCAATCACCTTGCCTGCTGCTCCCAGCCCCAGGCAGCCAGCCTGGGAAAGCAGAACAAGAGCAAAAACCTGGACATTTGCTCTCATTTTAAAAACCCACCTGGACACAAGGATAGGGGGCCAGAAAAAGAGGACATGTCTGGGAAAACCTGGACATATGGTAACCCTAAGCAGGAATGCTTGGGGGCTGGGTTCAGCTGGGACATCAGTAGAAGCAGCATTGATAGGTGGGAGGGGCGGATCCCTTCCCATACCAGCTCCTGGAGGACACTGGGCAGGGTGGGGGAGTTGTGGCTGTCACTGTCATTGTTCCAGGTGAGCCTGCCTCCCCACCCCTGCTCTGGGGGCTCCCACAGTGTGGTTTGCCCATGGGGGTGAGGGAGGATGCTGGGAGCAGGATGCAACCACTGCTGTAGCTAGGTTGTTGCTCCCACACCCACCTTTGCCAAGTCCTGGATCTGCCCCTGGATGGGACTATACCTGAACTCTAATCACATATGGAATTTGAAGGTTTCAAATTCCAATCCAAATATTGTGTTTGGGGCCTATAACTATACTGGACCAAACCTGATTTTAGCCATCATTAAACTTTAGGTCAGAAAGTAGATTCAAATCTCAGAAAGTAGATTCAAACCAGACTCTGTTCTCTCTCTACTCTTTACCCCCAATCAGGTAAGAATAGATTTTAGCTCCTGTAGTGCCATTTTAGTATGCAGCATATTTTTCATACTAGGAACACAAAGAAGAGGGCATTAAATAATGCCCACATAAATTTCCAAGTGGTCCCCCTTCCCCCCCATTGACTAAATCAGCATTTTAGCTCCGGGCTCAATTATATGCCACATTGACAGTTAGGTCTTGATTCATCCTTAGGAGGACAACAGCTAAATTTTTGCTTAACTTTAAATATAATTTCCACTGACATCAACAGGATCTTGAAGGTAAGCACATGATTACATGCTTTTCTTGATTAAGGGCCTGAAACACTTGCATTTCTTTGATTTTATTGTTTAAAATGTTTGGTTTACTGACACCCACAAGATTTCAGTTTTGTAAAGCAAATAAAATATGAAACTGGTGGCTTCACCTTGTGTACTCTGCATTTTATTCATGTAGCATCTACTTTCCAGTGAAGAAACATGCTTTATTCCCATTAACACTACGAAGACATTTGCCTATGCATTGAGAGCAGAATAAAGTCCCTGGTCTCTGAAAGGGTGCTATTTGTGATTCATAACCAAGGATCCTGGTTTTCTCTGGTAAAATAGCAAATTCTCTGAAAAAATCACACATTCTCTGATAAAAATCCCAAAATCCATTATTAAAATGAAACACCACTATATATATCAATTGATATATATGTATCAATTGAACACAATGTTTTATTGATGTATTTACAATTCTAAATCAATTTGGAAGCCTATCAGTACCTCAATCACTATAATAAAATAGATTCTAAATACCTATACATTTTGGTATTTGATTTGGGGTTTGTTATCATGGAAAATCAGATTTTCCCTTGCTCCCTTAGCTCACAGAACACAGGTCCAGCAGGTCTCTCACTCCCCGCGCCCCCCAACAGCCCCACAGCCCTGCTGGTGCCCCTCACTTCCCCCACAGCTCCCTGGCACTGCTGGTACCTCTCACTTCTCCCCCCACAGCCCCCTGCCCCTCCCAGTCCTGCCAGAGGGGGACCCCAGCTGCCAGAGCTATGGGGCCAAGGACCCAGGTCTGCAGGCCCCTGCCTCTCACAGCAGTGACCTTCCCAACTAGGTCACAGAAGTTGGTGTTTCTGCCATCTTCTTGTGAAGTGGAAATTTCAATCACAATAACCAAGTGACTCCAGATAATAAATCTCATTGGACCGAAGCTAAAAGGAACTTTCTCTCCTAGGAGTAATAAAACTAAAGCAGTCTTTCAGCCTAACTACTTACAATGTTTATAACATCTGATGGTAGTTATGTGACATTGGCTGGTAACTGCTAGTGCCAGCTTTTAGAGTCAAGAATTCACCAGGACTATAGATGCAATGTCAGCTGACTTTGCAGGATTGAGGAAAGCCATACATGGTCCTTCACTTTGTACACTCAGGTAAATAGTATGCTAAGACAAATATGACAGATAATAACACAAATATAAAGGGAAAATGGAAAAATAGCATTTTTCATGGTAAATTGGGGTTAGAAAGCATATTTCTCTAGCTTTTCTCTGTTATTAACAGGGATGTGATTAACTTCCATAGATTCTACATTAAAAAAAATCCTATAAAAGTAAAATGATGACTGGAAATATATTAACACATTCTATGGATTGAGGTCAAATGCCGATAGAGAGACAAAAGAATAATTTTCTCCATAAATGTATCATAGAGACCAATTTGATCAGTTTAAAACAGGTCAAGGTTATAAATAAGTTGTTAAACTGAAATATAAAATTGTAAAATGAAAAACTGGGATACTTACGTTGGTGACATATTCAATATCCTTCCAAATATTACATTCCCTGGGGAAGTCTGTCAAATCTAAAAAATTATCCACTATCACTTGGCCAATCAAGTCATGCCTGGAGAACCTGTCAAAGTCGTACACAGAGAAGTGGAGCTTCCTTGTGGTCAGGTCATTGTATGGAACAGGAAATAAAAAAACTTCATCAAATACAGGGTTTAGGGTCTTTCTGTGCACTTTAGTCTGGTGTTTTGTTTTCCTATCTGGAAGCAAATAGATCTTCACATAAGGGTCTGAAGTCCCAGAAAAGTCCTTTGCTGGCAGGTTGACAGCTTTGTGAATTTTTACTATCAGCTGCTCTAAGTCACAATCATATTTCAAAATAAAGTTGAGCTTCCCACAGGTTTTGCTGTTGTTTCGCCGTCCATCATCAGTGTCCACTGATCTTTGCTTATACAGCTCCGGTTTAATGCGTCCAATCCCAGTCAGCTGCTCCTGTTTTTGAAGCTGCTGGATGTTGAAGTCTGGGTTTGAAAGATTGAGCTGTCTTCGGATTGAATTGTGCCTTAAGCAAAACATGAAAGAAGCTAAATTGATTATATTGCCAGGTGTTGTGTGATTCTTGTCTGGACATTATTTTAATTTCATTGGGCATATTTAATCATGCCTTTAGGTAGCATGAACATGTATAGCACACTATCCCTTTTTAATAGAGCAATATTTCTATAATTGAAATATTATTACAGTTCATCTTCATCATTAGATTTATTATGCTTGTATAATGCACAATTCTTATACCTTAAGCACACACAATATACTCTCCAAAGTCAGTTGAAGCTTATAACAACCCTCCCCCCCAAATAACCAAGCTCATTGGAAAGCTGCCAAATCACCTATTTCCATTAAGTTATAAATGTATATATGATTTAATATAACTGCATATAACTGTAAATGCAGCCCTCCCATGCCAGATATAAAGTCAGAGAAATCAATGAATTTAGTACCAAGAAGTATGAATTAGTCCCATAGGTACATTTGTAATAATAATTATTCCTATTATTTGCCATGAAAGAACTTTATAAATATTCAGCCCAATCCCACACAATTTAATGGTTTATGCCTATATAATGGAGAGGAGAATCTGTCCCTTTACCCATCACATAGCTTTAGGCGAGTTTATTGATATCTGGTAGGAAGAGAAAAGACTGAATATGGGAGGGAGGTATTTCCCAACAGCTGTAAATTAATTACTGATCAGTAAAAACTACTATTTGATTTACAAGCTGTTTCTTTTTACTTTAAATGGTTTGCTGCCCATCTCTATCAATATTTTTCCTTCTGTTTTGGTCCTTCTCTCATAACTACCATCAGATGTTATAAACATTGTAAGTAGTTAGGCTGAAAGACTGCTTTAGTTTTATTACTCCTAGGAGAGAAAGTTCCTTTTAGCTTCGGTCCAATGAGATTTATTATCTGGAGTCACTTGGTTATTGTGATTGAAATTTCCACTTCACAAGAAATCAAATTTGCAGTCCCTGTAGGGCAGTTGGATGAGAAAGTTGGATTAGGTAAAAGCCCTCATCTTTATGAGTTGGATTTTACAATTTTTTCTTATTAATACATAAAATCATACATCATATTGAAGAACCAAAGCATAGTGAACATAAAAGGGAACACCTGGGAAAAATCTTAGGTTACAATTAGTCAAGACTGTTTATGCTGAATGTAATCAGCAATATTTCCTCTCATATTATCATTCATTTCTTGTAAATGTGTGTGTATATGTTAAAACAGAAGCATTCTCTCTCTCATAATCCAACTAATTTTTCTCCCTTGCTACATAATAAAAGCATAATTATGCAGTTATGCATTAGTAGTTTTCCATGACAAAATACTATTGTGTCACAAATAACAAATTAGACAACTTAACTCCTACCCTTCTTTAAAGAACATGGACATAATGAAATACAAGAGGTAAATACAGACTTGTGGGTTAATACAGTATCCACTTTGACAAAGTGGGAAAACTGAAGTACAGAAATTAGATGAAAGTTCTACAGCAAACTCATAACTGAGCAAGGACTAGAACCCCGGTGTCCTGGTTTTAAGTGCTAGACTGTCTCATATACACGCTTCCTCTCATACAGCCTGCATGTCACATCTTCCACGTCAGAGTTGCTCATACACAATGGAAATATGAAAAGGCACGTGGCATTAGGGGCTCCAGTTGAATCTAGGAAGGGAATTAAAATGAGCAGGACTTGTTTTTTTCCGGTACCTTTCTTAGGGTTCCCTTCCAAACTGTATATTTAAGTGTTTGAAGGGATGGAAAGAGGGTTCAAAACAATTTCTCCTTCCCTTTCTTTTCGGTAAAACTTCAAGAACTGTCACTCCCCAGTCCTAAACTAGCTTTTCTGTAGGGAGCGCTGCTGATCTAGGACTAAGAAAATATAATTGTTTTGAGTGGGTAAATTTCATAGTCTTCCTTTTCCTTGCATGATTGAGAAATTTGTCTCTTTATGGTTTCAGCACTGGATTTTCTTACTTCCACTGTCTTGTGCCTAGTGAGGCTTTAGCTCTCACTTTAGCTCTCACTGCTGAAGGAAGAATTATGCTTTACAAAAACACAGTGAAAATGTGAATATGACAGAAAACTCTGGGAATTGTACTGAGAATATTAAAAAGTCCCTGGCTTCTGGGGGCATGGGGGAGAGAATTAAAATCCTCTTGTGCCTATGAACTGTACCAATTAAGTGTGTATTTTTGTATTTTACATTCCCTTTAAATTATATAAAAAATACATCATTAAAAAAGTTTGGTTGTTCGTGAAGCTTGTGGACTGTCAGTAAAGAAAAAAAAAAGTTCTCTCATTGACAATCTGCTCGTGTGTCCTATATCTTAAGTAGGAGGCAGTGCCAGAGTTTGAAATCCGCCTTGCATGTGGCTGGTAATGCAACGGTGCATCCTTGCTTGGGCTCAGCTTCCATAGTCACAGATTCCTAGGACTGATCTACAGCCTATTGAGAAAAAGACAAGGACATTTATCCAGGCACTCAGGAGCATTCCTGTTGTTTCCTGGGGTCTTTGCTTATCTAAACCACAGCTGTCCAACTCTTGGCCTGCAAGCACATGCCTTGCTGCCACTTCTACCATCACTCTGGTTGCTAAGGCCAGGATCTCTGGGCTTCCACTCCCATCATCCAGCTTCTGTTTTCTGGTGTGCTCCTGGATGTGGGATGCGATGGCAGGGCCCACAGAGTCTGAGGGGCTTGGGGCCTGGAGGGGCACCCACATGACATGCAGCCCATGTGATGGGGGGGGAAAGAGGGTGCATAGCATGTGGCCTCCAGCTACTCAGAAGTTGGACAGCCCTGATCTAGATCAAGATATTAACACTGAAAGATTGGCAATTACTGAACTTAATCCCTAGCTCTTAGCTGCTCTGACAGCACCTTATCTTAAAGAACAGCCTGTGGTCAAGAGCTTTTGCCAAACCTGCTAATTCAGGTGACCAGAATAAGTTACTGAAGAACTGCGGAGCTAGTGCTGTACCTTCTCCAGCTCCAGTACATCTACATTGGCTCAGAACTTCACTAATTGGCTGTTCAAGTGCTGATCTTTTTATGGCCATGTGCAGAATAATCCTTTTATCACCTTTCCTTCCACACTCTCACACTGTCACCTCCCCCCTTTCCTGTTCCCTCATATACTGGTGCTCAGTTTCCTGTGCCTGCATCCAAACTTATTCAGTCAGTTTTTCACCCATAGTCAATGCTGTAACTAAAATCTATCACTTCTAATCCTATTTCTGACTCTCATAAGTGTTTCATTAGCTTGCCCTATTTTTTGGTTGTTTTTGAAATCTTCACAGGGATATTACTGAGTGCTCAGCCTCAGCAATAAGTATAAATGAACATGCTTTACAGGATCAAATCTGGACTGTTCTCTTGTTCCGAAGGACACCGTTTTGGCAAGTTTTCTTGTTTATGAGGGGAGTAGGCAGATGGTGCATTTGTTGTTTGTGATTGAAACAAAAATGACTACCATTATGGCCACACCCTCTTAAACCGTCTGTCATGAAGCACACCCCAACAAGTAAATAATTTTCTATAGCCATTAAAGTGAAAGGATTAAGACAGGTAAAATAAACATTTGTTGTTGGTCTGCATACTGTCTAAAAATGGATGGGGATGAAACAGGGAGAGTAATATTTTATTATTAGAAGAAAATTGTGCTACTGACCGAGCAGAAGACGTTGGTTCTGTGATTTGGCGATGCATTCGGACATTGTGTACACAGTTCTCCTTGGTCCCTGCTTGAGCATCTAATGGAATATCAGGGGAAGTGTGGCTAATTTTCATGGAGGACTCTGGGTAGGAAGTAGGCTGTCCCAAGTAATCCTCGCTGTACTCATGGTCATTGGTTTCTGTATCTGTACAGTTCAGCGAATCCTGCTTGTCTTTGTTCCCAGAAGGCAGGCCACGTTCTCGCCAAGGGATCCAGCAAAGCTTCCAGGACACAAACAGAGACACACCAAACAGAGCAAGTCCACAGGCTGTGACAACTAAGGATAGCAAGCTTACTGAGATATCTGCAAGGAAGGAACACAGAGACATTTCACAGTTTTTGTTTTTTCTCCAACTGGTTAGAGATTTGTGCATCTCCTATGGGGAACACAATATAGAGCTAAGCTTTCTTTACATATTGCTTAACTTGGATTGGAAAAATTAAATACTGATAGCAGCAACTGTCAGGTCATAAAAACATATTAAAATGTTTTCTTCTCCACTTTCTCCAGGAAAAAAATTGTCATTAAAGTTTTATTGTATGTAAATAAAATATTAACACAGAATTATGCCTTTGAAATACATTATTTACATGTGACCTAAGATGTGCTTCCCGTGATTTCAGATGTTTTATAAAGGAACTTGAAACATCATTTAGAGTTATTTTATTCAACCTAATCTATTCATTAGTCTCTTATGTTAGTAAATGCTAGTCTGGGGAACATTTTTGTGGTGTTTGTAAAAGATACACAAGGAAAGTGCACAAAATACAAAGTAATCATTAAAGAGTGTCTTCCACTTTACCTGAAGGTTTTTAAAAAATTAAATATGCAAAGCCTTGCAATATATTATCATGCTTCAGTGGCTATGTTCACACATTCTGTTACAAGCAATGAAGATGTTAAACTGACATACAGCCTTTGCTGTGGGAAGTTAGTACGGCACAGTAAGGTTCAACAGACTGTAACAGGGTGCTCTGTCCCCTTAAGAAAGGGTAGCCAGCTGTGCTAAGGATATAGGATATTCAGCTGCTGGGCTTTCTGCTAACAAGGGAGTGTTCCACTGGGAGCTTAAAACCCTAAACGAAAGCTGAGAGAGAACAGTTGCAAGGAGAAAGGAAGCAGGATGTGAGCTAAACATCTTGTTGCATGGGTATACCACACTCCTCCGGGGGCCAGAGCAAAAGGGATCCTGTTTTAGTGCTTGGGGAGGGGCAGAGGGGTTGATTTTGTTTGTCTGTTCCCTTGCTTGTTTGGTGTTTAAACACTGTGTTTTATTTGGAAGACTCATAGAATCATAGAAAATTAGGGTTGGAAGGGACCTCAGGGGGTCTTTAGTCCAAACTCCTGCTCAAAGTAGAACTACCCACAACTATATCATTCCAGTCAAGGCTTTGTCTAGCTAGGTCTCAAAACCTGAAAGGATGCAGATTCCACAACCTCTCTCGCTAACCTGTTCCAGTGCTTTACTGCCCTCCTGGTGATACAGTTTTCCTAATATCTTTCCTAAACTTCCCTTGCTGCAACATGAGATCGTTGCTTCTTGTTCTGTCATCTGCCACCACTGAGAACAGTCTAAATCCATCCTTTTTGTAACCACCCTTCAGGTACTTGAAGAATACTATTAAATCCCCCATGGCATGTCTACATGAGATGCTATATGTAGCTTGTCATTGTGATGACGTTGCTTCGGTGGACATGACCCATGACACCAATGCTACTGTGAAATAGCAATGAACTACTATGCAGTAGCTTGTTACTAATGTAAAGTGGGGTAGGAAATAACTCATGCACCATCATTCAGTGGTCGGAAATAACTCATGCACCATCATTTAGTGGTTACTGCACGATCATTTAGTACTTGCCAAAGCTAAAGGAAGTACTAAATGAGTAGCACCTGTGCAGCCATTTAGAGATATAGATGCATCCCCTCAGTCTTCTCTTCTCTAAAGGAAATAAGCCCAGTTCCCTCAGCCTCTCATCAGTCATGTGCCTGAGCCCCCAAACATTTTTGTTGCCCTCTGCTGAACTCTCTCCAATTTGTCCACATCCTTTGTGTGTGTGTGGGGGGGGGGGGGGGGGGGTGCAAAACTGGACGCAGTTCTCCAGATGTGGCCTCACCAATGCAAAATAGAGAAGAATCACTTCAACCTGCTGGCAATGTTCCTACTAATGCATCCCAGTATGCCATTAGCCTTCTTGGCAACAAGGGCACACTGTTGGCTCAACTTCAGCTTACTGTCCACTGTAACCCCCAGGTCCTTTTCGGCAGAGCTGCTGCTTAACTAGTTAGTCCCCAGTCTGTACTGGTTCATGGGATTGTTCTGTCCTAAGTGCAGGACTTTGCATTTCTCCTTATTTAACCTCATGATATTTCTTTTGGTACGATTATCCGATTTGTTGAAGTGTCTCTGAATTTCTTTTGGTCCTATCCTCTGATGCATCTATTACTCCACCCAGCTTGGTGTCATCTGCAGACTTGCTGAAGGTACACTTTATCCCATCTTCCAGGTTGTTGATGAAGATATTGAACAAAACTGCCCCAGGACCACCCCCGGGGGTGCTCTGCTTGATATGGGTTGCCAAATAGACACTGAGCCATTGATTACTACCCTCTGAGCCTGACGATCCAGCCACTTTTCTATCCTGATTGTCCATTCATCCCAAATGGTTTTCCTTGGCTTGCTTGCATGTTGTGGGAAACTATCAAAAGTCTTATGAAAGTCAAGGTATATCATATCCACTGCTCTTTCCACATTCACAGAGCTGGTCATCTCATCATAGAAGGCCATCAGATTGGTCAGGCATTACTTGCCCTTGGTGAATCCATGCTGACTGTTTCTAACCACCTTCTTCTCCTATAAGGGCTTAGAAATGGATTCCTTGAGAACCTGCTACATGGTTTTTCCAGGGACTGAGGCAAGGCTGATCAGTTTATCATTCACCAGATCCTTCTTCCTCCCTTTCTTAAAGAAGGGCATTATATTTGCCTTTTTCCAATCATCCAAGACCTCTCCCAATCACCACATATTTTTAAAAATAATGGCCAGTGACTTTCCATTCACATCTGCCAACTCCCTCAGCACCCTCAGGTACATCACACCTGGTTCCATGGACTTTTACATGTCCAGTTCGTCTAAATAATCCCTAACCTGCTTTTTTGCCTCTGTCAGCTGCTCACCTCTTCACCCAAACTCTGCTGCCAGATGTAGTAGACTGGCAGCTGACCTTGTCTGTGAGAGCTGAGGTAAAAAAGGTATTGAGTACTTCAACCTGTTCCACATCCTGTCACTAGGTTGTCTCCCCCATTCAGTCAGGGACCCACACTTTTCCTGATCTTCCTCTTGTTGCTGACATACTTGTGGAAACCCATCTTGTTCCCCCTCACCTCCCATACTAGCTGCAACTCCAATTGCATTTTAGCCTTCCTGATTTCATTCCTGCATGACCAACCAATAATCTTATACTCCTCCCTATTTGTTTGTCTAAGTTTCCACTTCTTTTAAACTTCCTTTTTGTGTTTTAGCTCATTGAAGAGTTCCCTGCTAAGCCCAGCTGGTCTTCTTCCATATTTGCTAGTCTTCCTGCTCATCTGGGTGGTTTGTTCCTGAGCCCTCAGTAAGGTTTTTTTAAAATGCAACCAGCTCTGCTGGATTTCTTTCCTCCTCACACTGGCCTCCTAGGGAATCCTGCCCATCAGTTCTCTGATTTTCTGAAGTCCAGAGTTCTTCCTCTGCTGGTGTCCTTCCTTTCCTCAGGATCCTGAATTTAAATCATCTCATGGTTGCTGCTGCCCTAGTTGCCATCCACATTTCCTGCTAATTCTTCCCTGTTTGTGAGCAGCAGGTCAAGAATAGCATGGCCCCTAGTTGGCCTCTCCAACACTTGCACTTCGGAAGTGGTCCTCAACATTTTCCAATTACTTCTTGTGCACTGCTCTATTGCCCTCCCAGCAGATATCAGGGTGATTGAACAACCAGGGCCTGTAGTCAGGACACTTCACCTAGCTCATCCTCCTGGTCTGGTGGTCTATAGGAGACACCCACCACAATGTCACCCTTGTTGCTCTCCCCTCTGACCCTAACCCGGAGCTATTCAGTAGGCATATCTCCAGTTTCATATTGGAACTCTGAGCAATCATATAGCTCTTTAACATAAAGTACAACTCTTCCTCCTCTTCTCCTCTATCTATCCTTTGGGGACAATTTGCACCCATCCATGACAGTGCTCCAGTTATGTGAGCCATCCAACCAAGTCTCTGCTATTTCAGAGTGGGGAAGGCTTACTATGTGGCTGGGGCTGGCATGGCTAGTGGCTCTGCATGATCAAGGCTGTTGGGAATGGTGTGCAGCTTTGGGCGGTGTCCTCAGACAGCAGGGTGCAGCAGGTAGGTGCCTGGCTGGGGGACCGCCCTCCATGGAGGATCTGGCACTACTGGCAGCCAGTGGTGTCATGGCCTGCTGAGCCTCATAGTGGGGGTTGGGGCTGCAGAGCTAGGGTGGCAGACACTGGCACAGGCTCCCTGAGCTCCTGGTGGAGACTGCAGCCAGGGAGCTCAGTGGGATGGGCTGCTGGATGCCCAGGGGGCTTTCCCCTGGTGACATGTCACTGCAGGTGCCAGGCTGGGGCAGGGGCTTGGGCAGGCCACCCCTGCTGCTGTAGACAGCATAGGTGAGTCCTAGGTCCCATGGCATGAAGATGTCCATCAGTTGCCACATAAAGGGCATGGATTTACAGGCATTCCCCGACTGACGATTATGGTCAGTGATGGCAACCTAATGTGCCCGCAAGGCCTTGACCTTTATGCAGAACTGCTGCACTGACTGGTTGTGCCTGTGCTCCTGCATCCAGCCTGAAATACCCTCATAGACTTGGGTGTTGGAGTGCCCACCCTGCTCAAATTGGTGCTATACCTTATCTTGTCCCACAGCGCTATCAGGTCACCAGTCTCCTCCATGGATCAGCTGGGGCCCCAGAGGCAGGTATGGGTGTGAGCAAGGGGTGTTGGGGATGACGAAGCTATTGTGATTCCTGTGCCAGCTCTCTGGGCTTCCATGTAGCTGTCCTTCAGCTACTGGGCTTGGCATGGGACTGGCAGCAAGATGGCAGAGGCAATACCCCGCAGCACCTGCAGGCTTAGGGCAGGCTGCTGGGGGTAGGCTGCAGGCACAGGGAGCTGGCCCCAGAGGCTGCTTGCAGCTGGGGCTGGGTGCTGGCAGGCCTGGCTGGAGCCCACAGCAGCCTGTAGGCCTGGACAGCATGGGACTGGCAGGTGCACAGCACTGTAGTACCAGGCAGCAGTGCCAGGGTGCAGGCAGGCTGATGAGGCTAGCATGTAGTCTGCCCAGGGGGACACAGGGCCTGGAGTTGCCTCAGACTCCCTTCTGGTATGTCCCAGGGCTCAAAATGCCTGCAGGCTTTTAAAGACCTGAGGCAGGGGCTGCCATAAAGGCAGGAGAGGCTTCCAACCCAGTGCACTGGGGCTAGCCTGAGGCTGGCCCCCT